AAAGAAAGATTACAAATTATTTGGTTGTATGTGTGGTCCTGCATTACAATTGATGTTGGTTTGTTCCGAGCCGTCCGAATTTATGTCGAAAAATTAAAATAAAAAAATTATGAAAATTGCCTTTGGGTCCATAACCTCAGGTAATTGGATTGGCAATGCATGTATTTATATGAAAAATTTTAATTATTCACATCGGGTAAATGTTTGTGAAAATGGATTTAGTTTAAGATGCTTTTTGAAAAAGCATTATATGCGAAAATATTTTGTAAATAATGAATGAGTTTGGAAATGGAGTGGTACCCACGTCACTTAAAGATAATAATCAAATAGAATTATGATATGATATTTTGCGAGAAAAAAAAGGTTAATTCACGAGTCGCATCACTTAAGGCTAATAATGAATAAAAGTTTGGAAATGGAGTGGTGTACCCACGGCACTTAAAGATTATAATCAAATAGAATTATGATCTAATATTTTGCGAGAAAAAGGTTAATTCACGAGTCGCATCACTTAAGGCTAATAATGAATAAAAGTTTGGAAATGGAGTGGTGTACCCACATCACTTAAAGATAATAATGTAATTGAATTACGAAGGATGGATCAAAAATAATATGGTATTGAGTACAATATGTCACTTACGAACTAATTTGATAAGAAATATTTGTTAATTAAAAAAAAATTATGAATGATTGATCACTTACAGACTAGTATTTGAAAACGTTCAAAGAAAGGCATTATGTATGCAAATGTCGCTAAGTATCTAGAGCAAAAGTGTTATTTTTCCAAATTTACAAGTTGGTATAATCTGGTTCAAAAGCTTCCAAAAATTATTGATATTCAACGTTCATGTTAAAACTTCCCACAATGAATTCAATTTTGATTTGGGGTTTCAATCATGAAAGCAAAATTTTCCATTCTTCAAATTAATTTTAACTGTATTAGTAGGGCGATATATTATGTTAAAAAATAAAATGATATAAGTACATGATTGTTTTAAACAAAACGAACCGCACGTTGCCGCCGCTTACTCCAGCGCCGCAGTCTGTAATTAGCAATGTAGTAAAATATCCGTTAACTCGTCCGTTGCATGTGCAAATCCCGCGCCGCGGTCTATATATGTATTAATAGTTGTACTTTTAGGTGTTACTGTACCGCTTCGTCGATGTGGTTCGCCGTTACCCATGCAAGCTGGCGGTACTTTGCTCGTATGTGTGTGTAAAAGTAACTGGGCTCGCCGTTATAACTGTATATGGCGGTGGCGTGGCTTGTCGTCATGTGCACTATAGGCGGGGCTATGTATGTACTTAGTGGCCTTATACATACATACATATGCGGTGGCTTTACTGTACATATGAAATGTACCATACGCCGCTGAAGCGTATACGGCATTAATATGTATAACCTCCCGAGCCACGACCACGAACCAGGGGTTTAGATTACTTCTTTCATCCTGACCCGGATAAGACTGCTGCGTGGCACAGTCGCTATGTTGTGGTTCCAGTTCCTCACAAAGAGTGGTCGCTCTAAAAGCGTGAGCTTACCCGGACCTGTTGCAGCTACTCCGCTGCGCTCCTGTTAGCTGCTGTCTGCTGGCGGCACACCTCCGGTACTGTGCCGGGAACTTCAAACAATTTGAGGGCACTGTTATGTGTTTTTATTTTAAAACAAATATTCACGCCCGACAACCACATTCGCTTTAAGAAATAATACTTCTTTTTAATTTTTTACAATTATTTTATTTATTTCTCTGAACCGTGTCCGTTTCGTTGTAATGGCGCTGATCGAATGACGCCAATTCATTTTTTCATTTAGCACCTAAACTTAGCTGCTATTATTTACATTCAGGTAGGGTTGCATTAAATTTATAATATCGTAAGCTTATAGGGTGGTTTCATGTAAGGTAATTTTGTAGAGTTTAAATCGGGTGATTCCTTAATCGCCTTACACTATAGATACTAATACAGATCATCATGTGAATTTCATACAGAATACAGCTTGTAGCCAAAGGCAGTGGCATGTACTTAAGACTCATTTAAATCTTGTTGTCTCTGTTGGAGCAGCTCCGGGTAATGGACCATTGAATGTGGCTGCAGTTATGACCGCCATAACCAACGGAGTCTCCAAGCAAATGCATGTCCTGAATTTATACGGTAGCAATTCATAGCAATTACTATTGTATGTATGTATGATTCATATTTGTGACACTCTATACTTTGATCAAATCGATATTAAGTATTTCTGAGGAGCTCCGGGTAATGGTCGCTCCAACTTTGGTGTGCTTAGACAGCTCATGGCAGATGCGCTGGCAGGAATTGGAGTCTCTATAACTATACAAAACTCGTTTTTTTTTTAGTAAAAACTTAAATATATTCGGAATTTTACTTGATAAATTCACAAAATTTTTTCATAAAAATATAATCTTAGAATGGATATTTTGGCGAGTGTCGACTGGCAGTAGAATAGAAATTTGTCGATCGAGTCGATCATCTTTTATTTTGCTATTGTGTAACTTGATCGATAAAAATTTGAACTATTGTGAATGGTTGACAGAATTGTAAACAGCTGTTTGTTTGTTTACATTTGTTTCTTTAGTGTTTTATTTACATGATTTTGAAATTAATTGCTTTTATTATAAAATTAAAAAAATGGACACAGTTGAAATATGGTTTAGTGATGAGGAAGATGATGTGGAAGCTAATAGATTAGTAGAGTTGGCTAAAGCAAGGAGGGAATTGCGAGATTTGTCGGATCCCTTGGAGTTGGAAGCTGAAGTGTATGCACATATGTGAGTTTTATGAATAGAAGTTGTGTTCCCGATGCTTCACGGTTGTTAGGCTTTACATGATTTGCAGGAAAAGGTGTTTTCCTCATTAATAAACTTTATGGAGGTTTAAGAAATACGGTACGGTTATTTGTACAATGATGTTGGGTATTTGTGTCCAAACGTGTGACCCGAGTTTAAAAACTTGAACATACAAGTGTAGTGAAAGAATTCCACTTTAATTCAAAATAAAGATTTCAAATTTTCGAGCACTATTCAATTAAGTTTTTTTGTAAACTTTTGATTTTGGTTCTGCGCAAAAACACTGTGGCGTAGCCGGAGTTATATGCACAAGAAATATTGTATATGTATCTTTCCCAATAGAAGCGGAGCTTCCTCCCCTACTCTTTCCGGAAATTCTTTTACCTATTCACTCTCCTGCATCAGAACGACCAACCGCACAAGTTGCCTTTTGTTGATTACAATTTATGATCTGTAACTCAGACACATACATACATATGTATATTTCACAATTTTTTACAACTTCCAGTTCAATTGACTTACTTTTTATCCATTATAGTTCCACTTTCTTATGCAAATTTTATAAACGCATACTCCAACGACTAAAAAACAGCAATAGAAGGATGAGCGATTAAAAAGTATTCACAGTCGCTAACTGAGCGACTAAGCGACACTCGCAATAGCATCGTTAATCGATAATCGCTTAATAGTCGTTTATCTACTGCCAGTCGACATTCGCAATAGGGGTGTTTCTTAATTTTAAATTTACTTTTAAGAAAACTTCATTCAGTGCAATTACTACGATTTGAGTTTTTCAGTTTATAGAAACACAAGCGTTAATTATGTTCTTAACTATTGATATTATTCTTAATTAGGCATTGATATAACACTTCACCTACATTTTGTTCATAACACATAATTACATATATTTTATCCTCGAAAAGAATTTTTTCTAATTATGAGGCAAAACTCCCCACAGTTAGTGTTGGCGTGCGCGCAAAACGAAAACGCTGCACACAACCCAAAAGTACTCCTCGGGGACCAATTGGTACAAATGCAAAGAAGAAAATATAAGAAGTGATCGTATTTATCACATCTGATTTTATTTAGATAAAATAAAAACTAATGTACTTACCTGTAATATTTATTATATATATAGATTGGCGCTTACGCATATGTTAGTGTTTGGCCGAGCTTCTCCTTTGATCTGTGGCGTGCACCTTGATGTTGTATCAGAAAGGGGAGGGACCTACAGTTTTACGCCGACTCCGAACGGCGATTGTATTTTTATGAGAAGCTGTTTTTCGTGGCAGAAATACATAAGTACACTCGGAGGTTTGCCATTGCCTGCCGGGAGCGATCGTTGTTAAGAAAAAACCTTTTTTCTATATTTTTTTTGCGATGTTGCTTTGACCAGGGCTTGAACCCAGGCCCTGCGGAGTGGAAGCGGGCACTGCTCACCACTACACCACAGCGGCCGCCAATAGATTTATTAGACAAACAATATAATAAATTCTGTTGTATAGACGAACTTAAAATCACACTTCAAACATTTTGCAAAATTTATTTTCGACCACTGTTCACTGTCAACTAAGCATAAACCTCAGCAGGCTGCGGCGATATTTAAATGCATTTGGGAGCGATATACAATTGAGTAGTCCACTTGCAAAGTGCGCTATGTAAAATTTTTTCGATTTTTAGTTTTTGGTGGATTACGTACCTGTATTTAAAGTAGTTTCATGTCCACTAACAACATAGTGCAAAATCTTTTTATATTCTGAAAAAATAGCATCAAATGTTAACTCTTCTTCCAAAAGTCGCTATGATACTTATTCAAAAACTTTCAAGAGTATCCATCTTCTGGTAAACTTTGGTCGGATAGACTGTTAATGTTATCTTATGTCATGTTAGGTTATGTTATAATTTTATAAGGCTCCTATTTATCAATATTTTCAGGTAATAGTAAAAAAGATTCAATTTAAATATTACTTGTTATCGTAGTCATTTTTTCAAATTTATGGCTTTCTATTATAAAATCACATAACGCTGTTTGCAAGTGGACTACTCAATTTAGCTTGTAGACAAATTGGTTTCGGGTTGCGCCATTTTCAGTATCATTTGGCGCTAAGGTTTTTATTCCATTCCACAAATGTTGGAACATAATTGACAATTAAACCATGTCGCCCAGTAATCATCTAAATCAAATCACACAGTACATACAAATACAAAACAAGATGACACAGAGCCATGTTTGTATTATACATTGACTTATGAATTTTCTCAATTGAATATAATTTTAACTGATACACTATTTCTTTATAGCATTTTTAAGAATGATATGCTTTGTTTTTTTAGCGTTAATAATTAATATGATACATTTCATTATTACATAAATTATAAAATTTACGACTAGACTACTTATACTAACACTTCATACATTTTCTTACAGAAGTAATTATTTACCAAAACACACCTTAAATCAATGCTATCCCTAAACAAGCGCGCCCAGCTTTACAAAAACAAGCATTTTTATTGCCCTTTAGCGTTTTGAAATAAGCATGCTGATATTTTGGCATCGACAACTTATGCTATGATACTAATAAACGTTTTGTACTCATATTTGTATTACTTGACGGTAATTCGTAAGCGACTCCACCCCATTGAAGTTTGTAAGTTCGTTTTCGCCATCTGATAGCTGGATTCCAAAGCGCATGCAGAAATAAGTAAGGACCACTTATCTCTCTAAACAGCCAACCAATAACGAACTCAAACTTGTGAAACGATAGTGAACCGTTCTTTACATGAGGAAATAAAAACAATGAAATCAATATTAAAATAGTTCAATAAAATATGACTTATACTGCATACAAATGTATAAGATACCTGCACTATGGAGAGTAATATCCAATCTGATAGAAACCACGTGAGTACATGCACTAAGTAAAATACTAATGGATCCCAATTGAATAATAGCGACGCCGACCACGAGGCTAAGGCGCCCAATACCATGCATTCAGAGAGCGGTTCTAGCAGTATTGTTGTCGGTACCATGGCCACGCGCAATTTCGCCCAGCGTATGAGGCGTTCTTGGAAACTGTTTATATCACATATGCCACTATTCTGCAATGCGGGTTGATTACTTATATGCATTTTCCATCCTTTATCCCGTATTGCTTTAGCGATAAAGAAATCTTCAGCTAAATAACATCCAAATGTTTTTAATCCGCCTAGTTCATCAATTACTGATTTTCGTAGCAAACAAGACATTCCAGTATGGCAATTGATGCCTAAAATATCAGCAGATAAGTAAATTCGAGACTGTACTGTACCGAAAAATATCTGAAAAGGTAAATTTTTAAATAAAATTAAAATAGTCATTGTCATACTGAATGAATAAGTTTGGCAAGCATCACTTTGTGTAGGGTTGGGCAGCAGAGAGGGGGGCAGCGACTGCGCTGCTGCTAATGGGCACAAAGGGCGTTGTATATTAGTATTTCTTTTACGGATGCTAGACGAATTAGAGTATACACGCTTTTATCGGAGAAGCGATTTTTATTTCGTGATTTAATTTCATTCTCAAGACGTGGCATACCTTTAACCTCTTGGAATCCACCTGTCAGACTACCAGACAAATTTGATCAAAAGTTGATATAAAGCTCCCACTAGGTTTAACCACATCTCGCAGATTAATGGTCGGGATTAGAGATGGGCCCGGAACTAAATACTAAATTCTGATCTCGACATTCAATTTTTACGTCACGTACACGACGTTTTTCAGGTTGGTACCGCGGGTCCTGTGAGTCCCGAGTCCATCACTAAATAAAATTCACATGACTGTGGAATTAATTTTAAATAATATACTTGAATACATTTTTCAAGAAAGATTCTACCATCGTCATACTGAAATATCTGTAATTTTCTGATTACTCTGGTAAGGAAGATTTTCCGAGTTTTTGGAAGTCGCGGGTGGTGTCGGGAGTATCGGAAAATTTATTTTTTCAGTCCCGCCGGTAAAATTTTAAAGACCTTCCCGATACTGCCTTCCTTAGCCATTTAAAAATTAGTACCGTGGGTCCCGATATTTCGCATCCATTTCTAGTCGGGATAATAAATAACTGGACACTGACTTATGGGTGCGGCAAGATTCGCTCGCGAACGCCTGTAAATACGATCTTCTCCTACGCCATAAATACTTGGGCAAACGAGCGTTAGAAAAAATACTGCCTACGTTTTCGTTGGTAAGAGATCGTATGCAAAGAGTTTATGTATACATATTGCAAATGAACGAGCGTACGAAAGCGATAGGGGTCTCTCGCCCACGAAAACGTAGGCAATGCTTTCTCTAACGATCGTTTGCTTAAGTATTTACCGCAGTAAAATACAATCGCAAAATGAGCTAATATGAGAAAATTTTATTTGTAATCGTTCGTTGGTAGAGCGGGGGTAAAAAAATCTTTGAATTTAGTATATTTTGATACGTATACGTTTCCATAAACAGGCAGAGTGCACGATGTATTAAATTTCTGGATATTACGGTGCAAGTTCACAAATGCAGCGGTGTACAGACCTTAGATGTTTATGTACGTGTACAAGTTCTGAACCAAAGTATTTAATATTTCAGTAAAAAAACTAGGATAAAAGAAAATCTTAATTTCTGCCTGTTTCGCATGTACACTCGCCAAAACGGTAGCAGGTATTGAATTACTAGCAAATAGAATGAAGGCCTTTTTTCACACAAAGTGGTTAAACTTCTACAAAGTGGTTATTATTGTACAAATTTGTATACCTAAGTTTCCTTCAAGAAATTAACTTCAGTGTCTAGCATACTAGCAAGCCAATAGAATATAATGATTTTTTCAGCGCAGTATTAGACAATGTTACGGATTTCCCTAATTAAAGGTTCTTAAAGTATGAAATGTTAAATACATATGTATATACATACAGGCATTTTTTTCACACAAAGTGGTTAATTTGCTACAAACATACAAACTTCCATGCATACATAAATAATTTATCCTCCAGACGAACGCTCGCGATCGTTCAAAAACTCAATCTGCACCATCCGAGTAACTGCTTGCAGCGAAATCTTCTCTTTCGCATTCTTTACGAACATTGATATTGCTCGTAAGAGATCGTAAATGCTTTTGTTCGCAGCGCAACATTATCAATCTCGAAAAACTGGAAGCACTCAATACTTGGCCGCGACTGGTTGTGAGAAAGATCGTATTGTAATCGTTCTCCGCACCCTGCTTATGGGCACGCATGGAAAGAGGGCGAGATACCCAACCGCAGCTGCAGAGATGAGGAAGAAAAGGAGAGAATCGAACACCATTTCAGCTTTGGTTCTGCCATGGCCACGACGCGCAACCAATTCTTCAACAAGTACTTTTTATATTGTCTAGCTCACCCAACTCATTTATTTATTTATATTTAGTATAATTATAATCTAGAAAATATAGAAGCTTCTTACAGATTATTATGATAACACCAAACAAGAAAAGACGTTACTTTAACAATTCATTTAATTATAATTTAAACCGAGCTCTTCGTTCTAGTGATAAAGTGTCGTGATTCCGAAGACTTCTCGTCGTTATCTTAAAGTAAATGCGTTCTAGTAAGAATGGACAGCCAACCTCAAAAAGTGTCAAAGCCAAATGTGAGCCCGAGTATAGTCCTTCTAGAGTTTAAAGATTTTAAGTTGATTAGCTGCCGCCTAGTACTATAATGAGGAACCGGATCGGTAAAATGTAGGAGCGTAGGGCACACCGAGTAAACGTTTTTGTGTTGGTCCAAGCCTCCTTATAGGACAGTCAAGATATGGTCTCCAGATGAAGGTAGCGTATTATAATTTAGATCGTACAAGTGATGTAAATAGGAGTTTCAAAGTGTAAGGATCACTAAAATCTGAACTAAATCGGCCAATGAAGGCAAGCATAGAATATGACTTCCAATAGTTCAGTTTAAGTGGCTCTGTAACAGGAATTTACAGTCGAAAACCGCACCGAGATCGGAAATTTCACCCACTGTGCTTAGCCGCAAAATACCACTTTTTCCTAACAATGAGTTGTAATAATTTCGAAGCGTTGACAATTTAGAAATTGGTCGATAGTTGCTAGCGTTATTCTTACCACTTTTGAAAATATGAGTGATAGAGGTGACCTTCCAGGCATCAATAAACACACAATCCAGTGATTTATTGAAAATTAATAAGAGCGAGTACGCAAATGCAGAACAGTTCTTTAAAAAGTAAGATAGTGCATCTGCGTCGGTTTGGCAAGAGGATTTGATGTGCAAAATAAAATCAACCACGTCATCGAGCGTTACAAAGAGGGCACCTAAATTAAGTGGGGATTCGCTGCTATCATCCGACAAGAAGTCGTGAACTAGATGCGAGTCAGGTTCAAATTTAGAGCTAAAGATATCAGCGAAAAGGTTACCAGCTTCCGAAAATTAGTACGCATAGTTTTCATTATGGAAAACAGTCGAGGGAATGCTGCAGGAGGGCCTAGGGATGGCATTGATGTCACATTCAAATTTATGAACATAACTTTTGTGAAGAGTTTTACCAAGAGCTTTAAACTCGCTCAAATTACACAGGTATTCACACCTATGAAGTACGGAGTTAGTCTACTCGATTTTTTGGAATTTTTTCTCAAATTCTTAACTCAACTCAACTCTTCGGCATACTACAGAATTTTGTAACATTTTTTAACTAGCGGAATAATATTCATGCAAATGTCAGTTATCTTAATTTTAAGAAAAATTCCGCTAGATTAGTCTCAGATAATACGTAGTCCAAGAGCCCACGCAAATTCACTACGATCGATGAACAGAGTAAAATGTTTTTTAACTGCTAGTACTCACAGTATCTATCCATAATATAATTTAGTACCTAGAGTCTGTTCTTCTTCTTCTTATTTGGCGCTGTAACAGCCTAAGCGATTTTGGCCGAGTTCAACAAAGCACGACAGTCGTTTCTTCGTCTTCATCTGCCACCAACAGCTGGTTCCGAGTTGAATACTTTCAGAGCTGGAGCGGCTGTGTCCATTCGAACGACATGGCCAAGCCAGCGGAGCCACTGTATTTTAATTCGCTGAACTATGGTCATGTCGTTTTAAAGCTCATACAGCTCATCATTCCATCGTCTGCGGTACTCGCCGTCGCCAACGCGGAAAGGCCCGTAAATCTTCCGCAAAATCTTTCTATCGGATACTCCAAGAGCCGCCTTATTACATGTTGTCATTGTCCATGCTTCTGTACCATATACCAGCGGGCATGATGAGTGACTTATAGAGTCTGTTCCTTTAAACTTCGGACTAAAACCTGTGGAACTGCCTCAAGTGAGAGTAAAAGGAGAACAGATGCAGAAGTGCACGTGAACGCAAAAAGCACTATTTCCTGTAAAAACGTCAGTCGGTTTGTTTAAATGTCATTGGTACAACACTGATTTGGCTGAAATATCACTAAATAATTATTAAAACCTATAAATATTCAATCATTTCTTTGCTTACTTCCATCTTTTTACAAATATAAGGTTCTTTTCTTTCGCCGCTTTCGGTTTTTGTTTGCACATGCAAATCAGCTGATCGTTTGACACTTTTCAACTAAATCCTGTAACTTCTGACTAGGAATAGTTGCTCAGTTACTCTCTCAAAAGTGTTCCCACTCACAGGTTTTACGTCAATAGGAACGACTTCCTATAAGTTCTGACTAAATCCTGTAAACCGGACTACTATTGAAACAGACTAATAGAGTGTGGTTTTCGTACGTCGAGAGAGGACTTTACTCCTTGTTGGCTAGAGCGATTCTGCGTTCCATGCTGACATTATTATCGGTGTTAATGCTGTTTTCCAAGTAAACCAAATTCTTCACTTTCTCGAAATTATAACTGTCAACAGTCACGTGGGTGTCCAGGCGCGAATGTGCCGACTGTTTGTTTGATGACACGAAATACTTCGTCTTGGCCTTGTTTATCACCAGACCCATTCGCTTTGTTTCCTATGCAACTTGGAAAAGGCAGAACAAACTTCGCGGTTTTTGTTACCGATGATGTCGATGTCATCGGCAGAAGCCAGCAATTGCACGCTCTTGTAGTAAATTGTTCCTGAGCGGTTCAGTTCTGCAGCTCTATCATCTTCTCCAACATCAGATTAAAGAAGTCACATGAAAGTGAGTCGCCCTGTCTGAAACCACGTTTGGTGTGCGAACGGCTCGGATAGGTCTTTCCCAATTCTGACGGAGCTAGTGGTATTGCTCAACGTCATTTTATACAGCCGTATCAGTTTGGCGGGGATGCCAAATTCAGACAACGGCGTATAGGAAACTCCTTTTAGTGCTGT